TAGGGGGTGAAATTTGGAATTGAAAGTTCCTCTACCATTTTTGGATCCGACAATTAGTTAATGAGACATTAATTAATTAAGTCTGCCAATCCGTTAGCGTCCCGTGTGAGCGCTAAGGGCCGTAGGGTGCCGTGGACTTTTCAGGAGCCCTGCTTGTCCGTTTTTCTCCTCTTTTTTGTATCACAGAGGAATAAATATGGATGAGTGAGTGAGTGGGTGTGTGGATGACTGCTTGATCGGGGCTAGGGGATAGCAAGTTTTCAATATGTGGGATGTATGGGTGTTTTTGTATGCCGTTATGGGGTGCGTTCAGATTCCCTACCCGGGTGCACTCTGTTACTAGAAACACTATAGTATATGTCACATATACTATAGCACTTCTTGTATTAGAGTGCACCCGGGTAAGGAATCTGAACGCAGCCATGAGTGCATGAGTAATTTAAATGTTTTATGCGAGTGGGTGGAGTGATTGCACTCCACCCACTCGCATAAAACATTTTGACTTTATGTGCCGGAGGGGGAGAGCATGTATGGTATATTTTCTTCGAGTGCGTAGGACTTGAATGTTTTCTGCATGTCGATGGTTGAATATTGTGAATGATTTTAGTGTGTGTACAAAAAGAGGAAAAAACGGATAAGCAGGGCCCTTGAGGAACCCACGTCATCTTACGTCCCTGAGCGCTCATTCAGGATGCTAAGGGATTGGCAGACTAAATTAATTAATATCTCATTAACTAATTGTCGGGTCCAAAAATGGAAGAGAAACTTTCAGTTTCAAATTGCATCTCCTACCTATCCCTAACGGGTGTTCTACCAGGTGTTCTACCAAGGTGGGACACCCTGTATAATGTGAATATAACATAAAAGTAACATGTGATTAAAAAGTTATATAAAAGTTATATGTTATTCGTTAGCGAATTAACACATATTTTTTTATTGAATTCCAACGATTTATTCATTAGTATGGTTCAGATAAGTGATAACGTATGATTATTTTATTTAAATAATTAAAAAAAACTGACATTTTATATTCAGTATTATTTCAATTATTCGTGAAACTCGCGTGGTTTCAATCCTATGTCAGGCGGTCACCCCATTTTTAGATCATGTTGTTCAATGCTTAAAGCTTCAACGATCGTCCGGAAACTGGTGATGCCGATGCGTCGTAACGATATCTTGTAGATAATATTTACAATATACTCTTATATCGTTTAAAAAATATTATGACATATTTGTTGGTAAATGTTTGACACGACAATCACAATGCGATTAATATTGATACAATGTTGTATCAGTAATCAAATTTTAACCTACAACGTGCTCGCAAAAGAGAGAGAATATTCCTTCTTTCTCTCTCACAATATTTTGACAGAGTAAAGTTATGATTAGACTCTTTTTGTAAGAACTCTAGTTTTACAATATCATGATAACGATCCTTGCATATATTAAAATATCACATTTTATATACGATAAACACCTAAAATATAATTTCACATTTGTGTATAAAAATATTGCACAACTGAAATGTAATACAAACCCAATAAAAAATTTTTCATACATAATTATGTAGAATAATATAAAATTATATATAATTTTACATTATTATATATAATTATGTATGAAATGTGTCCATATATATTAATACATATTACTTATATACAGGGTGAGTCATCTGAATCTATCACCTCCAATAACTCGTTTGTGTGGCCAGGAATCGAAAAAAGTTTCATATAAAAGTTGTAGGGTTTCGAGGGGGAACCAAAATGGCGTACCTTTCAACTTTTGATTTTGACCGAAAGTGGGTTACTTCAACCGGAAGTGGTTTTTTTAAAATGGAAACCCCCCTTTTTGACACCGGAAAATGAAAAAGCGGAAAATTTTACGTTCAGATAT